CTGTGGCGGTGGTGGTGGAGTCGGTCGTTGTTTCCTCTTGGTTGTTTTAGTCCTTGCCATTGATAAATTCCTGCACAGACAAATACCCATATCTTATCAAACAACTATCAAGGAAAGTCTCAACTAATATCATGCTCGAACAAAACCAATATCAAGATACATCAAACAACAATCCAGGCAATAAAACAATGGATATCCAGAATACAAAGAATGAATATCCTGCCGAACAGAACTAATATCGGAAGGAACACAAAGCAATTCCACAAAATCCCGAATTAAAATCCACAAAAGAACGAACTCATATCCAGTCAAATATAAGTTACCAGAAAATAAATACTTCACCCACGAACCCAAAAGACAAATCCACAAAAGGAAAACCCGGATCAAGTCGCAACCATGAAACCCTAACTCAAATCTGTCTAAACAAAAATGAATATCCATGAACAAAGTATAATATAACCCAAAAGACAAATCCACAAAAGGAAAACCCGGATCAAGTAGTAGCCATGAAACCCTAACTCAAATATGTCCAAACGAAAATGAATATCCATGAACAAAGTATAAAAAAGACGTTTACCTCAGTCCACGAAGTAGTTCTTTCTTCAACTACCGCCGTCAAACCAACCGCCGCTGCTTCATCGCCGTGAAACCCCGCCCTTCGTCGCCGCCGATTGGTCTGCAACGTCGCCACCGTCAAAACAAGCCTGTAGCCGTCACCGCTACGCTGCACCCTTGCCGCCGCTTCGCTGCTCCGTCGCCGCCGCTTCGCTGCTTGGTCGCTGCTTCGTCTGCGTTCGTGAGAGGAGGGTAGCGAGAGAGAGGGGAAAGCGACTGGTGGAGAAAATGACCAAAAAAGGGTTTTGAACCAAAAAGTATTTGGGTTTGTGGGCCCGGCTGGCCCCGCTTTCAGTCGTGGGCTTGGGCCAGTCGATACACTCGGCTCTCCTCCCTCACAAGCCGGCGCCAGATCCTGCCTCGCCTTCGTGGACATCAAATCCACCGTGTGAGTATATACCCACAATTTATGCTGTGAGCAGCATAACTAAGTTGGTTATTTTCATATTTGAGGAGTTTAATTAAACACCAAAAGGAATGTGAAAAGGCAAATTCACAAAAAGAAAAGAATGGGTAGAGAGACGGAAAAGCGATTTAGTTTAGTTTTTTTTCATAAATAATTTTTTATTTGATTAATATTAATAATTAACTAGGTCAAACATTGGACTTCTTGCCACCTCATCAAAAGATTTTCATATTATTAAAGTCATTGGCAAGTCTGAGTTAACTAATGGTTGACCGAATAAAAGGTTAACGATTTGATTATTATTGTGTTTTTTAAAATGTTTGATTATTATTTTGTTTAAAATGAAATGTTTGACTATTAAATTGTACTTACCAAAAAATAAATAAAGAGCAATTTTTAGCTCCATCCTAGTTTGCAGCCATTGCGTCCAACCTGCTTATATGGCATATTAAGATTGATCATTTTTTTTATTTAATAAATTGTCATTTAATTCTCGTTTTATAAATAACAAAAAAAAACCTAAAAAGGGATCAAGGGCAACGAAATTTCACGGAACCCTTCTTCCGATTGAATAATCGTTTACTTATATATCTTTTTTTTTATGGGTAAGGTTGGTCAATGAGATTATAAAAAAACGTTCATGTTTAGTCACTGGAAATATTTAATTTCGTTTGTAGCCACTAAAACTAATTAAATGATTCAAGTTTAATCACTCTCCGTTTACTTCCATTAGTCTCCGTTAACGGGGTTTATTTTTTGCTGACGTGGCTAACAGACTTGCCTAATAAGCCTAATTTAACCCGAAAAATTTAACCCAACCCGCTACATCACCAAACCCTATCCCTCCTAACCCACTCCCCTTTCTTCTCCACTTCCGGCTAAACAAAGGCAGACCACCATAGCTAACAAAAGCCTGACAGCCTCCCCTCTCTTCTCTTTCTCTCCTGCGCCAGTATGCCCTTCCCTCTTGTCTTTCTAGAATTCCAAAACCCTCTCCTAAATTCATCTCCCTGTTTCATCCTCTCCCTCACTCGAAAACCCTAGAAAAACAACCCACATACAACTTGCATCTTCTTCGCCCAAATCCTGCCGCCTCAATTGCCTTCTCATCAGCTGTCGAATCCAAACAAATCACCTGCTGATTGAGGCCGTCAGCGACTTGTCCTTCCTAGGAGACCAAATCCCCCAAAATCGCCACCCAGTTTGTGATCGTTGTTAGTCGAGTCCAACGACTCACCTCCTCCTTATAGCGTCCATTGAAACCCTCGCCATCATCATTAATCCGGACGGAGGAGACCGATGAGAGGAAATCGGAACAGAGGAGGAATGCAACGAAGAGGATGAAGCTGTTTGTAAAAAAGAGACGAGGAGAGAGACCGAAACTAGGTTTTTTCGGGTTGCAGCGAGGTGGGATCCAATCCATCTATCGTCAAAGGAATGCTCCTCTCTCTCGTCCAGTCCTTATGTTCTTTGGCTTCATCATCATCGACCTTTCAATCCAAACTCACGCTTTCAGCTTCCATCATCGACCTTTCAATCCAAAAACGCGTTTCCCGGTTTCAACTCCGAACACGCCTCGAAGCAATTGCGCCCTGTTCTCTCGGTTGGCAGGATTTGCATCTCTATGCGCTCTTGAAGATCGGTTTAGCTGGATTGAATCCTCCCTCTTCATTCGCCTGCGCTAGAGGAAAGAAGAAACAATGAGATGAAGATGATGATTGAGGACGGCGGACGAAGGAAGAGATCTAGAAACACTATTTTGTTTTAATTCATCATAGTTTATGTGTTTTGTGGTTTGAATGACGTGGCAAGTTCTAATGAAGTGGCGGGTTGATTTTTTATGTTTTTTTGTTAAATTAAGCTGATTAGGTGATTATGTTAGCCACGTCAGCAAAAAATTGAAGCCATTAATGACGATTAACGGAAGTTAACGGAGAGTGATCAAATTTGGATTATTTAATTAGTTTTAGTGACTACGAACGGAATTAAATACTTTCAGTAACTAAACATGAACGTTTTTTGTAATCTCAGTAACCAACCTTGCAATTAACCTGTTTCTTATCCATATGTAAATTATTATCGAGATTGAATAATCATTTCCTCTAAACTTTAGAAGTGTCCCCACCCCAATGCATGGAGGGTATGGTTTGCTTTTTTTACTCGGATAAAAAAATATAGGGTAATTAGCATAAATGGTCACAAACCTTTGCACTTAGTACAAAACAGTCACAAACCTTTAAGTTGTAACCATTTGATAATAAAACTTTTTTACTTAGAACAAAACGGTCACAAATTAAACAGTGTGACCATTTCATACCAGTTCAAATTTTTGTTACCGTGTCGTTGCAAATTAGACTTTTGGTGACCGCTTTGTACAAATTAAGTTCAAAAGTTTGAACGCTCAATCACCATTACAATTCACTCTAGTTGTATGGTGGTTTTGTTAATGTATGTGAATGATATTATGTTGTTTAGGATGACAATGAGAGAACTCAATGGCTCACAAACGGGTTCCAGACTGCTTTTTAGTTGAAAAAACTATGTCTACTTTTTTACTTTCTTGGTATCGAAATTGAAAGGTCAATTGAGGGCATTCTTATTCGGCAAAGCAAATATGTCGATGAGCACATGACCTGACATCTTATATGTCGTTCAAGTGGTTAGTGTCATATACTTAACTAACAAACTACCCGACCTCAAAACATGACCAACACTTAATTTGTAACGATTCGGTAACAAACCTTTGCACTTAAAACAAAACTGTCATAAATTAAATAGCGGTGACCATTTTATACAATTTCAAAGTTTTGTTACCGTATTGTTACAAATTAAAGGTTTGTGACCATTTTGTACTAAGTGCAAAGGTTTGTTACCATTTATGCTAATTACCCAAAAAATATAAGAGGTTGTTTGCTTGATGGATTTGAATCAATCATGAACTTTGTCTAAACTCCATTGTTTACTTCATGGATTTAGGGGCAACAAATCCGTGGACCCCACAGACTTTTAGTGTCCAAATTTGTGGACCCCACGGACTTAAAAGTTACACCTCTTCAGGTGAGAATTAATCATGGAATTTAAAATTCATCATTTATGACCAAACTACCCTTTCTACTATCTTTCTCTTTTCACAACAATGAAGATAATATAGGTCAATTAAACTTCATACATACATATCTAATTAACGAAATCTATAATGAAATTTCAAGTCCACAATAAACCCAAAACCCTTATATATTCATGATTTTACAAAATCCAAATTTTACCAAAATCTTCATTTTTCAAATCTAGGAAGTAAAGGCTAAGATTTACTTATGCACCAATCTTTGGGGTCGTTTGCTTGATGGATTTGGGTCATGGATTTGGGACTCAAATCCCAAGCATGATGAATTTTAGCCAAGTCCATTGTTTGTTGACAGGTGTTAAATCCGTGAGGTACACGGATTTGTTCCCTTTTTTGGATATAAATCCATGGACCTCAGGGGCTTGTAAATCCCACATATTGGGGTGGGATTTGTAAATCCTTGATGGCTAGTTTGGTCCAAATCCCTCATAATGCAAAGATTTTTTTGAGCCAAAACCCTCATTTTTCAAATCCAACAAGCAAACGGAAAAAATCCCACTGTACACATGTTTTTTAAAAAAATTCTCAAAATACACATGTTATGAAAAAAATTCCCAATCTACGCATGTTATGAAAAAAATTCTCTAACGCGGTGATTGCATCACCGCCCTTCTTTAACGCGGTGAAGCAATCACCGCCTTGGTCTGACGCGGTGAAGACCTAAACATGCGTAGTTTGAGAATTTTTTTCATAACATGTGTATTTTGAGAATTTTTTTTTAAAAAAATATGTACAGTGAGATTTTTTCCCAAGCAAACCACCCCAAATTATCTTCTACAGTTCAAGTTAAGCACGTCGTTTTGGCTTCAATATCCAGCGCAATTCAGAAAGGCTTTCGAGTGGGACTGTGGTCTGTGAAAGAAGAGGTTTGGTCGTAGCGGTGGACTGGACTCCGATAGCCTGATCGTGTGAGCCACCAGCAACCTCCTGCGGCCAGCCGGCAGTCTTCCCGGTGGCAGGCTCTCAGTAAATTTGCGCCGTCACTTGTCATAACCGGTCTCCCATCTTTCCTTTCTTTGAAAGCTGGGCTCGGTATCAGTCTCTAAGCCCCTGTTTGCTTGCTTTGTTTATGATGGTGAAATTTTCAGCCACAGTTTTGTAATGGCTTCATCGTACAGGAAAAGATAAAAAAGGGGAAGAAGACTAGAGACTGAGGGCAGCAGCAGAGCTCTGCATTCTTTTTTCAGCATTCCTCTCGTTAAATTTTATATGTACGGAAGGTGTTCGATGAAAGTCTCAGCTGAGTTGGTACACGGGATATCCCGGCGTCTGCTTGTCTCCCCAAGGCGCTCTATCTCGAGCTTGCCTTACCTGTGCGAGAGAATTAAGCAAACAGGTACTGGATTTTAAACGCTCACCCTCCTCTCCGTTAAGTTTTTTGAGTGATCATCTAAGTTTGTTTTTGTGTTTTTTCGTTCCGGCAGAAAATGAGATTGTCCATATGTTCAAGATGCCTGGTCCAAACGAAGAAACGGAAAGCCGAAAATTCCCGAGGAAGTACAACTCTTCGGCTAGGGTGCTGGACGAAAGGTTCATTAGGATTCTGAAGATATTCAAGTGGGGACCTGATGCTGAGAAGGCCTTGGAAGTGCTCAAAATGAAGGTGGACCATAGGTTGGTTCGTGAGGTTTTGAGCATTGATGTTGAGGTTAATGTCAAGGTTCAGTTCTTTAAGTGGGTCGGGAAGAGGAGAAATTTTGAGCATGATTCTACCACTTACATGGCTTTGATTCATTGTTTGGATGAAGCTGGATGGGTTGGTGAAATGTGGAAGACAATCCAAGAAATGGTCAGGAGCCCTTATGTTTTATTAAGTCCCGCTGATTTATCTGAAATTCTGAGAATTTTGGGGAGGACCAAGATGGTAAACAAGGCCTTATCCATATTTTATCAAATAAAAAATCGCAAGTGCAAACCGACTGTGGGTACTTACAACTCTCTGATAATGATGCTAATGCAGCAAGGCCATCATGAGAAGGTGCATGAACTTTACACTGAGATGTGCAGTGAGGTTGATTGTTTACCTGATACTGTAACATATAGTGCTGTTATATCAGCATTTTCGAAATTGGGCCGTGATGAGTCTGCTATGAGGTTGTTTGAAGAGATGAAGGAAAACGGCCTATATCCTACAGCCAAAATATACACAATCGTGTTGGGAATTTACTTCAAGTTGGGAAATGTAGAGAAAGGTTTGAGTTTGGTGCAGGAGATGAAAGCTAAAGGTTGTCCTCTGACTGTCTTCACTTACACGGAGTTGATTAAAGGACTTGGAAAGGCAGGGAGGGTTGATGATGCATACGATGTTTTCTTAAATATGCTAAAGGGGGGTTGCAGGCCTGATACTATACTCATAAACAATATGATAAACATTTTGGGGAAAGCAAGTCGTTTAGAGGATGGAATAAAGCTCTTCCACCAAATGGAATCATGGCAGTGCATCCCGAATGTAGTTACATATAATACTATTATCAAAACCTTATTTGAATCAAAAGCTCCAGCTTTGGAAGTTTCTTCATGGTTTGAGAGGATGAAGGTCAGTGGGATTGCTCCTAGTTCATATACTTACTCAATTCTTATTGACGGCTTTTGTAAGACAAATAAAGTTGAGAAAGCTATGTTGCTTCTTGAAGAGATGGATGAAAAGGGGTTTCCTCCTTGTCCTGCTGCCTATTGCAGCCTGATTAACAGTCTTGGAAATGCCAAACGCATGGAAGCTGCAAATGAATTATTTCGGGAGTTGAGAGAGAACTGTGGACAATCAAGCGCTCGTGTTTATGCTGTCATGATTAAGCATTTCGGAAAGTGTGGGCGCCTTGATGATGCTCTTGATCTTTTTAATGAAATGAAGAAACTCGGTTGCATTCCTGATGTCTATACTTACAATGCCCTGATGTCTGGACTGGTACGTGCTGGAATGATAGATGACGCTTATTCACTTCTTAGAACCATGGAAAGTAACGGTTGTTGCCCAGACATTAACTCGCATAACATTGTCCTGAATGGCTTAGCTAGAACTGGTGGCCCTAAACGAGCAATGGAAATGTTTTCAAAGATGAGACATTCTGGAATCCAACCTGATGTGGTATCTTACAACACAATTCTTGGTTGTCTTAGCCGTGCTGGCAAGTTTGAGGAGGCTGCCAATTTGATGAAAGAGATGAAGAGAAAAGGATTTGAATATGATCTCATTACATACTCTTCGATTCTTGAGGCAGTTGGTAGGGTTGATGAGGTGCATGCAAATCCTGTTGCATGAAAAGATATCCCACATTGCTGAAATGTGCTTATCCGCATTGTAAGTTTATTAAGCTATGTTCCTTACCTTATGAGTTTAGGAAGCTTTAGTTGTAGTGCCTGCCAAAGTGTAGCATCTGAATTCTTCTCTTCCTGTGTTTTTGTTTAATGGCAACGAAGATGTGCTAGTTTCACTTAACTACTTTATGCATAAGGATGGACGTAATAATTGTGACGATTTTGAACAATATTGGAGGTAACCTTGTCCAGTAGTTGCATAGTAAACACTGGTCGCACAACAACTATATCAGGCTTATATTTTTGTATGTGTATCTCTCACCTCCAGATTGTAGAGCTTGTCCTTGCCTTGTAAACCTATCATTCGCTTGTCAGAAAGTTGATAATGCGATATATAATCCGAAGGCAAATCTATTCCATTCTTGTCTTCAGTCCTGCCTTCGAATAGTGTCCAGATCTTTGTAGGAAACTAACTCGAGCAATTTTTGCTTGTTAAGAGTTCTATTTTCTGTGTTTATGTGTATCCATTTCTGTTCTCTTTCTATTCTCTGTTTTATGAGTTATTTTCACTTGCCAACCCTATTCAAATTTTATAGTTGCTTGTTTTGGACTGCCAATACATTCATAAAAGAACTTGGTAGCAGTTACTCATTTTACGTATTATATAAGGCTTGATGATGACGAAGTCCATAATTACTTTGCTGCTATCTCCTTGAGAATGTGGGGAGAGCAGGGGGTTCTCTCTTTGAGACAGATCTCCTTTAAAGTGGTTGTGGAACTGCAAACAGCTCCCACAGATTAACATATTACTGTTACCTGCATATGTAGTAGCAATCTTAAGTTTAGTTGCCTGCCACTTTTAGAATGGTTTTACTTTGCAAGGTCCCAGTCTTAACTCTGCAAGTTTGTCTCCTATGTTGATACTTATCTGACCTGTGTTTCTCTAAAAGCAAAGCTGTCTTTCGTTTACCCAGTTAAGGCGGAGCAGGAGCCAAGTCCTTGTAGCTGGACCCTTGAACAAACCAGAGTAAGAGAATCCTATCCATCATGATTCATGGCAAGAGAGTCAGAGAAAAAACACCAGCAGCGAATTGTCACAATTTCTCATCGAAAGGACCACGAAAGAAGTAGCATTGCAACTCCAATCTTGGTAACCTAACTGGTGTATTGTCTGCAATTTTGATCCTGTGCATTGTTTCATCCTCCAAGTTGCTCCCATCCAGCAAAAAGACCTTACACTGGCAGACTCATTCACGAATTATGCTTGTACAGTTGTACTGGATGATGATCCACTTACTGCGATCCCCCTGTGCTTCCAGGATCATGGATATGATGTAGGATTATGGAATCATGACCGTGGAAGCCAAGCAGCAGCTAGATGAGCACACTTGACATGGCACAAGTGACAGACTCAACAGTATCGTCGTTTTTAGGTTCGGGGTATTAAGTTGCAGTAGCTGAAGATCGCTGCAGAACACTAATGTAAAGTGGTTTTTTCTCAGTTGTGAAATGTTTTCTCTATTCAAGTTTTGGAACTCAAATGAGATGCCCAAGCAGGCTTAAATTGTTGTTGTAGCTGTTTTTTGTTACATGGCATTGCTGGGGTCAAGATTGTACAGAATCAAGGTAATGTCACAGAGGAATACTCGACTTCTGATTCACAGAAACGCATTAGAACAACGCGGAATAACGGAGCAAAGGAAACGATAAACTCAATCTGCAATCTCATGATCACCTCCACATAACTGAGATCCATACGAAGGAGAATCCATTGAACAAAGACAGTAGTACTAGAACAAAGGATCTTCAGTCATGTACTCAGTTATTTCTTTCTTACCTCAAGTCTACTACCAACACTGTAAAGCAGCTAAATAGCCTCACAGCATGAGAAATTAAGGGCACCCCCTTTTAGTTATTATACAACAACAAACTAGCAGAAGCTACAGGGGAACCTGCTCAACACTAAACAGATTCCCACGTCTATCACAGATAAGGTACACATCATCATCATCATCATCATCCACTAGCATCCTCCACTGAGATCCCGGGTTGCTCCTCGACCCCAGAATCTTCTTCCTGAATCTTGGCTATCTCGGACTGCACTCTCTCCATGATCTCTCTCTTTTGCATCTCTAAATCCTTGTGGAAATCCATCCTCATCTTCTCCAGCTCCACCATCTGTTGCCGCTTACTCATCTCGATCTTCTCATATATCTCACTGAACTTCTCGATCGAATCAGCCAGCAATCTGAATTCGGACCCCTCCTCGTTCTGGTCCCTTCTGGACCACCTCTTCTTTGGCGGGAGCCCATCTGAATCATCCTCTTCTTCGTCATTATCATCATCATCATCTGAGTTGCCCGGACTATCCCTCATCTCGTCCAACCCATTGGGCCGGTTGAGATACACTCTGGGGTTGCTGAAAACATACTCCCCGGAATCCAAACCACAAGACAGTAGTCCGCTCCCACCTAGTTGTGCAGAGGTCGACATCAGCATATCCATCTTCTTGAAATACACCCATCTATTGCTCAAACTCCCCACTAATCTACCCTTCTCTTTCTTGTATTTCTTCTTCAAGGTATCCAATCGGTTCCTACATTGGGTGTCGGTTCTCTCAACTTTAGATACTTCTGATACCTTCTTTGCGACTTCTAGCCATTCGTCTGAGCGGAGACTCTTCCTCCCACGTTGTAGGAACTTGTCTCCCCAAGAATCTAGTAGGACAAATGTTTCTTGTTCGGTCCAGTCAGTGAGAGGATTTCTCCCTGCAAAAGAAGGTTTCGACGAAAGAATAGATGCAATTGGAAGTGGTGGTGGTGGTGGCACACGTGGGGCAAATTCATAACTTGATACCAGGCTCTTTAGTTTCCGTTTCTTTGGGTGCCTTACCAAATTAGCAGCATTGTCAACATCAGCAGCAGCATCATACTTCTTCTCGTTACTATCATCATCATCATCATCAACATGATCATCGTCAAACTCAATGTTGTCATCATCATCCACATCTTCTACATCTTTTCCCAAATGAACCTTACCATTATTCAGATTATTGTTCTCTCCACCCTCATTGTCTACCAATTCTTCATCATCATCTATGGATGGATCCTCCTCATCATTATCATCATCACTACCGTACTGATCAACAACTCGAAGCTTCTGCTGTTGGTGATTTTCGTACAAGTTGGGTGGGTACCTTGCATCATCCTCAGTGTCATCCATTTTTGGACAAGGATTCTGCCCTAGCAGCTAACGAAAACCCTAAACTGAAGCACTACCGGAGAATCAACAAGGCAACAACAGCAACTTCAAATGACAATAATCATCTCCTCCAGTCCCCAAGTACCCTAAATATCGACTTCCTCAAAACAATCCTCATTTCTCAGCAAATCAGAAAAACTGTTCTGATCAAACACATAAAGAACCCCTAACGTACAGAGCTCAGCAGTTCCTCAAATCTCATCTGTTCCATCAAAACCCTCCACCCCCAAATCTAAGGATGAACAACTGACGGGACTCTGGCATACAAGCTGTCATTTTCAGTATAACCCACAAGAGCTCCTTCGATTAAATAAGCTCTTCTTCTTCTTTTGTCCATAACAAATCAGCAAAACCCTAAGAAAACCAGAACCCATCATTCCACGAGAGACAAAAATTGCAACTTTAACAATCCTCCAAGAAGAGAAACACCAGAACATAAATAAAAAAAACCCATCAAATAGTTCGTCGTACCTCAAAAGAGAACCACTGTGAATATTGTCGAGGAGCCAAGTAAGAATGAGAACAATTGTGGGTGAGCGAACTTTCTTCACCCTCCCAAAAACTGAGGCTCCTTAATCCCAGAATAAGCTAAGAATTTCAAACTCTGTGGATTAAGGAGAACAAGGAGGATAATGTCCAGGCCAGGAGAAGGAAGGAAGGAAAATATCGAAGATGGGAAGGGAAAGCTGCGGAAGAGGAAGAGGGTGAAGGAGAAGTGGAGAGGAAATGGGGAAAATCTTATTTTCGGAGGATAAATGCTGGTTCGTACTAACGTACGCGATGTGCATCCTAACCCGGGAACCGGGATCCTGCGTTTTCGGGTCAGACTCAGGGACCCGGATGGATAGTCCAATTCAATAAAGATCAATTGGACTCGCAGGAGAGGGACTTGAGAGCTGGGCCTGGTATGGTCAGAGCAGTTCTGGGCTGGGCAAAGTATTATTTTTGGTTAAAGACACATTTGGTCACCGAGATTACAAAATCGGGACATGTTTAGTCACTAGAAAAAATTAATATCAAATTTGTTCACTACAATTACTAAAACTGACGCATTTAGTCACTCACCGTTAGTCTCCGTCCAACTCCGTTAATGAAGTCCGTTAAGTGCTGATGTGGCAAACAGAATTGCCTAATCAGCCGGATATAACCCAACAAAAATAAAACCCGACCCGCCACGTCATTATAACCCGCCACCTCATTAAAACCAACCCAACCCAACTCATGACACAACCCTACCCAACCCTTCTTCCTCCTTCCTCCCCAACCCAATTTAGGGTTTTCCCCATCCCACCCACTCCTCCCGCCTCCCACCTCCTCCGCCGGAGCACTCGACCTTGCCGGAGCCGCATCGGAAACCCAGCTTCAAGCGAGTCGTACAAAGCGGAGTAGTGGTGCAGGGTATCCATGAACCGACCCATAAACCCATGGCCTCCACCCGACCCGGTTTCCTCCGTCGCCCCCACTTCCTCCTCCACCACGGCCACATTTCACTGCACTTTTTACCATCTCCAACATAAGAACATAGCCCAAAGGGGGGAATACAAAAATCCGTTATGTCTGTCACCTGTAAGCTGGAACACTTATCTATTATCTATCGGGAAGTAAAAAGAAGCTAACCTTTCTTCAGTTGCGACAATGTCAGCAGCTCTACAAACCTCTGCATCTTCGACTCTCTTCGGCACCATAAACTGCACCACCGCAGCTTCTTCTCTGAAACCTCCCAAATCCATCTCTACCCGATTCAGAATCCGAGCTACCCGAGAAAAAGCTGAACTCAAAACCCCACCTCCACCTTCCTCCCCAGAAGAAATTACACAGAAGTACGGCCTCGAAGCCGGACTGTGGAATATATTCAGCTCCAAGGATGAGAAAAAAACTGTAGATGGTGGCGCGCAGGAGAAATCAAAGGGAGACCAAGCTAAAGAACTGCTAAATTGAGTTGGGGGAAAACCCTAAATTGGGTTGGGGAGGAAGGAGGAAGAAGGGTTGGGTCATGGGTAGGGTTGGGTTGGTTTTAATGAGGTGGCGGGTTATAATGACGTGGCGGGTCGGGTTTTATTTTTGTTGGGTTATATCCGGCTGATTAGGCAATTCTGTTTGCCACATCAGCACTTAACGGACTTCATTAACGGAGTTGGATGGAGACTAACGGCGAGTGACTAAATGCGTCCAGTTTTAGTAATTGTAGTGACCAAATTTGATATTAACTTTTTCTAGTGACTAAACATGTCCCGATTTTGTAATCTCAGTGACCAAATGTGTCTTTAACCCTATTCTTTTTTTTTCTTTCTCGGTAATTTTTTTTTTATTAGAGGGAGGCTAGAAAGTAAGAAAACAGCCAGAGTTGCCCAAGTACAAAATCAAAGGATTGGTCACCCCGTAGAGTGAAACCAGACGAGATGCAGTAACAAGCCTACTGCAAACTCACAACACAGAAGGGAGAAAGAAAAGCAGCAGCAGACGTATCCAGCCTGAAATCTGAAACAAAGCTCCTAAACATTAACTGATTAAAGCTCGCTGTCCTGGAGCACTTGCCTCGGAAAACTTATTCCCGTCATATCCTCGCGTAATATCACATCCAAAGTTGTTGGAGGATCATCTAATTCATATGTACTGAAAAGATAAACGAGACTGTGCTTCGAGATCCAATCCACAACTCTATTCCCTTCCCTGTACGTATGAACCAGTTGAACCACCCAGCCTTAAGCCAAGACACGACGAATCTGGCCAAGAATTGTTGAATAAGGATGTATAATCAGAGCGATGTTTGATCAAATCCAGCGCCAACTTGGAATCGGATTCAAGGATAAAAACTGAGCTCCCTTCCGCCAAGCCAGTTGCAGTCCCTGCAGAATACCCCACAACTCTGCGAGCAGAGCAGAACCGATACCAAGCTTGATGCAAAACCCCCCAATCCAGTCCCCGTAGCAATTACGAATAACTCCCCCTGCTGTGGCCATTCCCGGGTTACTCTGAGCTGCTCCATCTGTGTTAACTTTCCACCACCCTGATCTTGGAGCAACCCAGCTGATTAAGGCTTCCTCTCTTGCTGGTTTAGAGAAGAGGACAGATTTTGCCTCTGATGCCTCCCACACTTTAATCCATTCATGTGCCCTTGACGTGACGTAGTTATGAAGAGTTGATGGCGAGAGCTTAGTGCCATTGAAAATCGTGTCATTCCGAGTCTTCCATATATACCATAAGATTAAGCTGAAGTAGGAAGCCCAGCCGCCCCGCCAACTACCTTGGTTGTCATCCTGCAGGTTAGAAAAAAGCCAGTCCATGTAACCAGCATTAAAGAATTCTGCCCGTCGAGCACTGGGGACAACCCTGTTCCAATAAAATATAACTGAATCGCAGTCTCGTAAGTAGTGGAGACTTGTTTCCGGAACTCCCTTGCAATCAGGACACGCATCGTCGGTTGTAAGATGTCTATGCTTTCTAACCGCATTCGTGGTAAGCTCTCCTTTGGCGGCCATCCAGACAAACATCCGTACTCGTTCCGGCACCTGTAGATTCCAGATTTTCCGCCAAATAGGATGATGTTCTATAGTCAGAGAGATCAGAGCCTTGTAGGCTGAACTTGCTGATAACTTCCCATTGGACGTGAGGCTCCAGATTGGGCGGTCGTCCTCCGTCACTAAAGGGTCTACCAAGACTGTCCGGATCTTGTCAATAATGCTCGTTGGGAGCAGGTCTTCAAATTCCTCTAGTTTCCATCCCTGCTACACGTCCCAAAGATCCGCCACCCTCCATTGAAGCTTGTCAGCAACAATATCCCCTGTAGCAAGCTTAGCAAGATGGACCTACAAAACCCAAGGGTCCGTCCAGAATTTAGCGATTCTACCATTCCAAATATTAAAAGCATATCCCTTTTTGACAATATTCAAAACAGAGGTGAAGCTTCTCCAAGCAAAAGAGGCTCCCTTTGTTTTTGTGAGGGTTGCCAATCCTTCTTTGTCACGAGAGTACTTGTTCTTTAAAACAGAAGTCCAAAGAGTATGATCATTGGCTGTCGGTCTCCAACTCCCTTTAGCTAGCATGGATTGATTCGTTGCTCTTGTAGGTTTGATGCCAACTCCGCCCTGACTCCTAGGTAAAGTTAGTTGATCCCAAGCAATCGGGTGGAATTTAGTTTGGCCCTCCCCTTCTCCCCAAACAAATTGCCTGTTGATCCTGTCAAGAGAGTTGCAAACAGAGACCGGTAGTGATTCTTTCTCTGTAATTAGTGCCTTTTGCCGAATGTTGGATGGAAAAATTTATTTGCGGTTTTGAGAAAACTTGGTTTTTCAAAACGTTAGATTCAATGACTTCGGGAATGTGTGACTACCGCTACTTTCTGGGTACTGATTATTGGGCAGTCTGCGGGTTTCTTCCCTTTCTCTCGGGGTATATGACAAGGTGACCTCCTCTCGCTGTTGTTATTTGCTCTTTTTTCTGAAGGTTTCACGACCTTACTTAAACGAGCAATCAACGATAAGGATATTCATAGTGTCCGTATGCATAGTAGGCGTCCTATGGTTTCACATCTATTATTTGCGAACCATTCTTATCTTTTCCTTCGAGCTTCGTGGAGGGATTGTGGATTGCTTTTGAATCTTCTTTGTGACTTTCAATATATTAGTGGTCATAAGGTTAATCTGTCTCAGTTGCCGGTCTTCTATGGTCCTAACATGCAACCAAACGAACAGAGAGAGTTGGGTTCCTTACTGGGTGTTTGTTCCATTGGCATTAAGGATCAATATCTCGGTCTGCCCTCTCTCATCTGTCGACCCAAGATTGATACTTTCTTCTTAGAAAAGCTCATTTATGTCTTGTAGGGATGGAAACAAAAATTGCTCTCTATAGCTGCGAAAGAGACATTACTAAAATTGGTGGTTGCAGCTCTTCCAATTTAGTATTGTCTTGTTTTCGGTTGCCTAAGGAACTACTTCGATGATTAAATGCTCATATGGCTCAAT